GCACGTGCCTGTCCTCTCGCAGGGGCTGAATAGTTCCAGGCTGACTTTCTTCAATACACAGTGAAACTACAGACACAAAAATGATGCTCAGACCAAGAGCTGCTGCTGAGGAGGTAAACGTATAAGAAACAAAACAGAGAACACAACTAGTCGCAAAGTCTTGCTCTCTTGGTTTTCAAGAGTGTTTTGCTTATATTTTACAAAACCAAAAATGTATTCAGCCTCATTTAACGTAGCATTAGCCAGCTGCCATAAATACATACACTAAAATTAAGGGGGTTTTTGCTCTGTGTGAAAACCTTCAGGATCCTCTTCCAGCAGAGCTTTTGTTTTCTTTCTAAACTTATTTCTCCTAGGAAAACAATCTGACCTGGAAAAACAAGAAAACATAACCCACTTCTTTTAGCTTCTTTTCAAAATATTAAGCATATCCTCGGTATCAAATATTGGAATGAAATGTGAGGAACGGGCCAATCCCCCCAGACCTCGCCCATATCTTCATTTGGGGAGAGGGTCACGTGTTCAGGCCTTGTTTGTTCTGAGGGGTGGGGAGAGTTCCCTGTGCCCTGCGGGTCTTGGTGAAGGGCCCGCTGGAGGGAGCTCTGTTGGGAGTGAGGAGGATGAATCGAGAGGGGCAGAGAACCATTGTTCGGATATGACCTGCTTGGGATGGACGGGGCCTGCAGAAACCCCACCTGTAGAGTCTGCTCCCTGGGGGCTTAGAGGGTCTCTCCTGTCCAATCACAAATGTAGCCTGTCTGAAAGGCGGGACATCTCAGCTCCAACCGGATCTGACACTAACTTCGTCTGTGACTTCGGCACATCCCACCCCCTCTCTGATCCCCAGCTTCCCCACCTATAAAAGGAGGGCTGAACTAGCCATTTTCACTGTGCCCTCAGCAGTAAGTGAGGGCCCCTCTGCGCCCTCCCACCCTCACTGCCTTCTCAAGACAACTGCAGGCCGCAACAGAACTGTGCTTGGAGATAAAGCAAGCCTCGCTGAGTAAACAAACAGCCTCAGATCCTGGTTCCCAAATCTGTGTCCTGAGCCAGCCTGGGAGGCTCCCTGTCATCAGGGTAGAATGCCCCAGTCCCTTTCTTTGGCCATATAAGGAAAAAGGAGAATAGAGACTCACTGACACAGGTTACAGGCACAAGGGACAAGGAGAAAGCTGCGGCCTCCAAAGACCTCAGTGACTAACCAAGAATGAGGAATAAATCAAATACCACTCACCACCTCCTTTTTGTCACAGCCTCTAAAAGCCTACAGGCTGGGCCATACTCAGGCCTCCTGGGACATACTGTGAGAGGCAAGGGTGGCCTTCCTCTGAGCCTGGGTGGCAAAGCTCCCCAAGACAGGCCTCAGCCCTACCCTCCTCCTCCCCTGCCAGGTCCCATCCAATCTCCAGATTCCAGGCATATGGGAGCATTTCTCAACAGGTCCCTTCATCTGGGAAGTCATCAGGGCTGGTCTCCCAGGCCCTAATGCCTTCTTTCTCCCTGCCCCGAATCCTCTCCCATCCAGATGAGAACCATGTTCCCAGAGCACAAGTCCGATTGGTATACAGGACAACCCATAGCCCACTTTCCCTCAACCTACCCATTCAGATCCGCTTGAACTCTCAACTCCCTTTCCGGCCTTCCTCTGGGGATACCATCAATCATGTTTGGATGGGCTCCAGGGCTTTCCTTTCTCCTTCTCTTTGTTTGTGTGGTTCCCTGCGCCTGAGCTGCCATGACCTCTACTTTACCCTGTGAGATATTGTCCACCCTACAGATGTATCTCAAACGCCACCTCCTCCAAGAAGCCCTCCCTGATGCCTGCTCCTAACTGAGATTGCTCCCTCCAGAGGAACTCAGGGTCCATTGCCTGTGGCTTGCTGGAATACCTTGTTTGATGGTCATTTCTGTACTTGTGTGTCTTCCCATGCAGCGTAGAATCCCTGAAGGGCAGAGCCAGAGCCTCATTCACACACAGCATACAGCACAGTCCTGGGGTGCTGCTGGGACTCACCAGATGCTGAGATAAACCAAAAGAGAGGCTCCCAGGATGGCAGCAGCAGGTGCTAAGAGTGCTCTGGCCTCACACCAAGGGAAAGGGACAGCCGAGAAAAGCCAAGTGAGGCACATGTGAAAGTACAATAGAGTTCAAGAGCCCAGACAGGCATAGCTCATGGACTTTGGAGTCACACAGACATGGTTCCAATCTTGCTTCTGCCACTTACTTTCTGTGTGACCTTGGGTGGGTTACATAGTCTGCCTGGGCCTCAGTTTCCTCACCTGCAATACGGGGATGGGCTGTGATACTCACCTACAGTCTCAGTGACCATTCAACGATATAATAGATTCATGATACCTGCTTAGTAAATGAATTCAGAATAATGTGTGAACTCCCTAGATCACCTTTGGAGTAATTGCAAAAGTTAATGACTGTGTAGTTTACATGTAATCTCTACTCCTGACTATTAGCCCCATTTATTTACAAGGGAGGGGCTCAGGTTTAGGAAAGTGATTGTTCTTGCTCCAGGGTGTTCGGCCAGGGTGAGGGTGACAGTCTGCACTGGCTCAGTCTCTGGGGCCTGGGGGTCAGTAACGAGAGGGAAGGTGAGCAGCTCGCTCCCTGCCACCTGCCACCACAATGACCTGAGGCCAGTGCTCTGGGCCATCTTTGGCCAACATGTTGCCCCCAGGAGTCAGGTTTTAGCTGACACTGGGTAGACCCTGACTCCTTGCCCTGCCAGACTTGGAGCCACATGACTAGCCAATCCCAGGGTCTGGCCCAGGGCTGCTGCCAAGCCTGCTGTATGCCTTTGTTCCACCTGCTGTGCCCCTCCTACCTCCAATAAAGCAGGGTCAAGGGAGGAGCATAAAGGATGGGGGTGGGGAGGGGCTGGGCTGGGTGATATAGCAGCAAGGCCACCGGCATGTGAGACATGCAAGGAACCCAATGTAGCAAATTCACGACAGGGCTGCTGCAGGCTCTTGAGATCTCTTTACATGAATTAGAAAAACGTACCCTTTCTGGGTGAACAAAGCCCCATACCAAGACTTGGAGAGCAATATGTGGGTTGGATTTCAGCCTGGGCCACCTCCTTGTGCAGTGGACAGCATAGACAACTGTCCAGGGCAGCCCTGCTTACCAAGTACCACCGTGAGGCCAAGTTCTGAGCTGGGCACTGAGATATGGCGATGACTCAGACCCAGCACCAGCTTCTGAGAATCTCACAGGGAAGCCAAGGGCTAAGAGAACACAGCGAGGGAGCACCTAGCTCTCTCTGGGGAGAGGTTTGGAGGAGCTATGGCAGGCTGACGGGAGAAGGCACTGGCATGCATGGTGGCTCTCAAAAAAAAAAGGTTGGATTTGTAGTATTTGCCAATATCCATAGTATAAATACTCCCACTTGGGGGAGATTTCAAGGTGCCAATATGCTATCACTGAAAGGGAGTTCAGAAGAGATGCACACAATTAGCTCTTACAAGCTGGTTCAAGCTGGCTGTAGAAGACCACTGGGAGAAGGAGAGGCTTCAGCTGAATCCAGAAGGAAGAGGAGGATTTCTCCAGGCAGAGAGGGGAGTAGGAGCAGGGGAGGACATTCCAGCGGGAAAGAAAAGCAGGAGCAAAGGCATGGAGTGTGAAAGTAAGTAGGGAGCTAATTTTGAAGGGGTATGATTGAGAAGGGACTGTCAAAGCTTCTGGAAGATGGTAATGCTTTAGTTCTTGACCTGGACCGGGGTTACATGCCTGGTGTGATCAAGTTGTATGTACTTTTCTGTATGTAATACTTTACAATAAAGAGACAAGGTACAAACAACCTCATTCAGGGATAACCACTATTTACAATGTTGCTGTATTTCCATCCAATATTTTTCCTATGCACATATTTATATAGCCATTCAGCAAAAATTTTCATGTAGGAAAAAAATAATTCCCTATCCACACCATAAAGAAGCAAGCGTTTTAACATTACAAGCCATATGATGTAAGAGAAGGAGTGTGGGTTTTGGGGTCACAGAGACCTGGATTCAAATCCTGCCTCCTAAAGTGTGAAGTTGGTGGCCCTGAGAAAGTTGCCTGTCTTTGCATCTCTGAGCTCTTTTCTCTTCTGCAAACTGAGAGAGATAATACCCACATCCTGCAGGGCGGTTGAGAAGATCAGAGATGATGTGTGTCAGGTGCATAGCACAGAGCCTGGCCCACAGTAGGCCCTCAGCACATGTAACATATAAGTTATTGTTATTAGCTTCAGCTTAAGAAGTCAGAACTGAAAGAGTTGCCCTGAAAATAAATAACTGTACCACAGGAGGTATAGAGAAATGATAATTCCATAAAGACAAATGAGAATTTGCCCAGAGAATAAACTCAATGATAAGGAGATTCAAAAACCCATTGAGAGGTGGCCAGATAGCTCAGTTGGTTAGAGTGTGGTGTGGATAATACCAAGGTTGCCGGTTCTATCCCCATATGGGCCACTGTGAGCTGCGCCCTCCTTAAGAGAGTCAACTATGCCATTATAGCATGAAAGCAATGTGTAACCAATGACCACGGCTGTTCCCCAATAAAAACATTAAAAAAACCCCCAAAAACCATTGAGTGGGGGGTGGCTGAAGAAAATGGGGTACTTAGCCTGGTGAGGAAGACTTCAGTGGTTTATAAGATCTGTGCAACAGACGTGTCCTATATGCAGCACAGAATAGAATTAAGCCCAACAAACAGGACTTTACAGGGAGCTAATTTCTCCTGGATATAAGGAAGGATAGTCTCACTAATAATAGACAGGTAAGGAGTAAGCTCCCCATCGCTAGGAGTGCATAAGCAAAAGCAGAAGAACACTTGGTGGGGAATGATGAAGAAGGAAGGTGAGCATGGTGGCGGTCCCTTAAAGCTGGGCTCTGGAGCTTTCATAATCAGCAGCATCTGCTCCATCTAGCAGCACGCAGGAAAGTGCAGAACGGCCAGCATCACGTAGTGAAGAACATTAGGAGACCCTTGACCATCTTACCTGGTTATCAATTTTCAGTTCCACTAAAGAAGTGTTGTATGGAAGAGCTTCCACCAGGCGTAGGATCCCAGCTCCGGAAATGAAGTTGGACTCCACGTTCAGTGTCTTCAACACCTTGTTTTCCTTGAGCATCTCAGCAAGGGCCTTGAGCCACAGGAGAAAAGCGAGAGTACCCATGAGTCACCCTGAGCAAGGCTGGAGCCCCTTTTAGGTAGAACCTAAAATACTGAGGGAGTCTTGTGAGAGAGAGTCTCTTGCACACTTACGCTGTTGGAGCCAGGGACCAGGCGATTTCCTTCACCACACACAACTCTGTGTCCTCCTCCCCTCCAACCTGCCATGGCTTCTGAACCCCTATCGAAGAAGTCCATGCTCCTTAGCCTGCATCCAAAGCCTCTACTATCTGGTTCTACTCCCCTGCTCAGCCTCAACTCTTGTTGCTCCCTTATGGTAGGGCTACTCCTAGTTCCTGTGCATGCCCAGTGCTCTCCTACCACTTTGCTGTTGCTCATCCTGTCCCTGACACCTGGAACGTCCTTTCCTTTCCGCTTCACTTGTCCAAGCCACGCCCACCGTTCAAGGCCATTCTCAACGCCCGTTTTTCTAAGAGCCCGTGCTGACATTCCCAGCTAGCTCTGGCCTGCACTCTTGAACTTCATAGAATTTATCCATAACCTCCCTCGTGAATTTGTATTCCTTTATTTACATTCTTGATATACTGGTATTGTCTCTACCATTAGACTATCTACTGTTGGTGGGCTGAAAAGTCACCTTATTCCTCCCATGGTGCCCACATAGTAAAGTTTCAGTCACACTTCCCTGAGTAACTAGTGGAGTTCCAACCTCCCTAAACACGCTCCACTTGTCTCTTCTATTTCCCTGTTGAAATTTCACAGAGTTGTCATTCTCATCATCTCAGCAGCAGAGAGGGAAGCCTGGGAAACCACCACAGTGGGCAAGTGACCAGGGCAAATGAGAGGAGGGGAGCTCAGGTGGCCCCTAGCACGTTTGGGAGGAATTCAGCCAGGAGGTGTAGATGACAATCAGAGAGCCTCTGAAGGAAATGAGGTAATTAGCAGTTGGTGGAAACAATGTGTCATGGAGGAAAGGAGACACCAGCAGCTGATAGGCCAGGATGTACAATCAGTGGGCCATGGTTGTCTGAAATGTCTATCTGAGCCAGGAATGCCCTTCCCACTGTCCTTGCTTGCTGAAACCCTACACGAGACTCCCAGGAAGCCTTTCTGGTTGCAACCATCACACCCCTCCTCAGCTCCTCTGCTGTGTGACCCCAGGATGGCATGTCAGCTCTCTCTGTGACCCTGAGTAGGTTGGACCCTCCTGAAGGGAGGGACTGGGTCTTTGTTCTCTCCACAGCATTCCTCTTGCTCCCTAGGAAAGGACTGCTTGGGCCTGAAAATCAAAATATTTAACAACCAGTAGGCAAGTGCACCAAGCTGATCCGAGTGGACATGCTGATGGCTGAGCAGGTTCTAGAGCAGCGGTTCTCAACCTTCCTAATGCCGCGACCCTTTAATACAGTTCCTCATGTTGTGGCGACCCCCAACCATAACATTATTTTCGTTGCTACTCTATAACTGCAATTTTGCTACTGTTATGAATCGTAATGTAAATATTTTTGTTTTCCGATGGTCTTAAGCGACCCCTGTGAAAGGGTCGTTCGACCCCCAAAGGGGTCGCGACCCACAGGTTGAGAACCGCTGTTCTAGAGGCACTGTCATGCCAGGTGTCAACTCAGTTTGCTGGGCCACAGTGGAGAAATGGGGGGTGGAGGGGAGCATTAGAATAAGAGCTGGGACAGGCAGTAGGGGTACTTACAGAACTCTGGCAGCCTTATTTACCAACTGATCCAGAGCATTTCAGTACTTGACAATGGACATACTGGTATGAACGGGCTGACATCAGCTGTTGGCCTGGCACATGGAGTCAATGTTCCATAAACATTCGTGGCGCTGAACTGAGTGCCAGCATAGATGTGCTTGGTTTCTGATCCATGCATAGGGCTTGTGCTTTGCCAGCCATGCCTCCATGGGCAAACTCAGGACCCACTGGAGATCTCCTGAGGTAAGAGGTTATTATCCAGAAACTCCCCACTGGCAGCAATGAGAGATTATAAGCTATTTCTATCATTTCAAAAATATTGAAGGAAATTGTCTTACCTATTTTAAAAATCAGAAGAGAATTGATTGCTACCACATAGATATCAAAGCAAGGAAAATTACCAGGGATAAAGAAGGGCATTACATAATGATAAAGGGGTCAATTCTCCAAGAAGACATAGCAGTCCTTACTGTGTATGTGTATAACAACAGAGCATAAAACTATGTGAGGCTAAAACCAATAGAACTAACTGCAAGGAGAAATAGACAAATTCACTACTAGAGTTGGAGATTTCAATAGCCCTCTATCAGAAATATGCAGATCCAGCAGGTTAAAAATTAGTAGAACATAATTGAACTCAACAATACCATCAATCAATTGGCTATAAGGGACATCCATAGACTACTTCACTCAACAACTACAGAATACACATTCTTCTCAAGCTCCCAGGGAACATTCACCAAGATAGACCACAAGTGTAAAAGAATAGAAATCATACAATGTTTCTCAGACCACAATGGAATTAAACTAGAAATCAATAACAGAAAGATAACTGGAAAATCCACAAATATGTGGAAATTAAACAACACATTTTTTAAAAAAAAACGTCAAAGAAGTAATCCCAAGAGAAACTAAAATGTATTTTAAAAGCTAAATGAAAATGAAAACATAACTTATCCAAATTATGGGATATAGCAAAAGTAGTGCTTAGAGAGAAATTTATAGTATTGAATGCATACTTTAGAAAAGAAGATCTGAAATCAATAATCTAAGTTTCCATTTTAGGAAACTAGAAAAAGAACAGCAAATTAAATCCAAAGCAAGCAGAGAAAATAAATGATAAGCATTAGAGCAGAAATCAATGAATTGAAAACAGGAAATCAATAGAGAAAAATCAATGAAGCTAAAAGCTGGTTCTTTAAAAAAGATCAATAAAGTTGATAAGCCTCTAGCCAAGCTACAAACAAACAAACAAACAAACAAACAAACAACGCTCCTAGAACTAATACATGATTATAGCAAGGTTGCAGGATACAAGATTAATATATAAAAGTTAATCATTTTCCTTTTTATCAACAATGAACAAATGGAATTTGAAATTAAAAACACACTACTATTTGCGTTAGCAGATGAAGTACTTAAATGAAGTACTTAGGTATTAAAGCTAACAAAATATGTACAAGATCTGTATGAGGAACACTACGAAACTCTGATGAACGAAATCAACGAACTAAATAAATAAAGAGCTAGTTCATGTTCATGGGTAAGATGATGCAATATTGTCAAGGCGTCAGCTCTTTCCAACTTGATCTATTTAGGTTCAATGCAATCCCAGGCAAAATCCCAGCAAGTTATTTTGTGCATATTGACAAACTGATTGCTACTAAATGGTTAATTACCATCCTTGGTAAGCTAGTTCCTGTACTTTTTACTTGCTTTCAGTGTGTAGCAACCACACTGTACTGTTATCCTTGAGTTGTTCGCATGGCCAAACAGGAGCTGTGACTGTCTTGGTCACAGTTGTATTCCCAGAGCCTAATCCAGTGCTGGGCACAGAAAGATTCTCAATAAATATGTGGTGATTTTTTTTTAAAGAATTGATGGTTACTTTATAATAAGTACAATGAACAGCAATATTTTTAAGACATGGTAAAAAACCAAATTGGTCATCTGAGCCCACTGATGAAGACAATGATTTTAGATATGGAGAAACTGAGGCCCAGGGAGGGCCCTGCCCTTATCCAAATGTGATGTGCTGAATGGAGAGAGATCCAGTTTTAGGGTCCATTGGACCTACATTTAAATCTCAGCTCCACCTCTCATTTGCTCTGCAACTTTGGACAAAGCAAGTTGTCTGAGATCCCTGTACCCCAGGTTCTTCATCTGCAAAGTGGGGAGAACTGTACTGCTGGGATCAGGGGTGGCTATGGAGATTAACTAGGGTAATGTCTAGGTGGTGACTGGGTAACAACTATTCTGTCCACATCCTCTCCTGGCTCTAGCCCGGTCCCTTTCACAGCACCACGCAAGGTTCTTCATCTGTGGGATATGGCCAGTCCTGAGGCCACAAGCATCAACGCTTCTGTTTCTATGTCCGCCCCCTCACCCTCAATGCAGCAGAACAGAAAGGTACATACATATGCCACGGGGTCATTGCTCCGTGTCCCCACGATGCTGAATTTCTTCACATACGAATTGTCTTTCAGGGCTTCTGCGTACGCCTTGAGGGTAGGTATGGGGATGTTCTGCAGAGAGAAAGGCAGGCAGTAGCCAGTGGCCCCCACCAGTGGCAGGTTGGGCAGTCAGATGGGGGGGGGTAAAGTCTCCCACACATGCAGCCGGATTCCCAGCAAATCTGTGACCAAAAAGCTAAATGGGCAAACGGGTTTTTGGCTTTGCTTGCTCCCTGGCTTTGCCCCAAATGGCTGGGACTTGGGGAGAACTTTCTGGTAAACAGATTGAGAAATTCAACTTTCTCTTTGTGCACACAGAGACCAGAGGAGAAGAAAAACTCAAGGCAGTGGATACAGAGCAGCGTTGTGTCAAAAGCTCAGGCCTGAGGGTGCAGGGTGGACAGGGGCTTGGCCTCCACTCCAGCAGTTGGCACTGTTTCTGACTCACTCTGTGGATCTACCCCTCACTGGGTCTGTTTCTGGCAAAACGAGATGGCGGGGGGGTGGGGGTGGGGGACATGGGACTTTCACCAGATGGTCTCTAAGGGACATGGGTCCTAGAGGGTCTCAGCCCCACCGCATATCAGAGGCTCCTGGGGAATGTCTTCAAAGTGCTGATGCTCAGCCTGCCCCAGACCAATAAAATCAGAGGGTAGGTTTTACAGGCATACGTTTTTTAATCTCCTCAGGTGAAAACCACTGATCTAATCCAACTGCCTCATGTGCAGAGGGGAAACTGAGGCCTGGAGAAGACCATGCCCTTGCTAAGACCCCATGGTAAAGGCGCAGAGCCGTGGCCAGTTTCCACACCCCCACACCCTCTAAGCTAGTATTCACTGCCAGGGTGCACAGTTCTGAATTGTGTCAATGTCTCCCACTGGGCACACGGCAAACAATAGAGGCATCTGAGAGAGACCCTGGCTGTGTTTTAACAGATCTCTCATTTCAGGGAGTCACTTTAGCTCCCCATGGGAGCACAGCATGAGAAGCCAAGTGGAGGAGAACACTGCAGGCACAGGTTTCCGATCTGATTGTACCGTGGGGCTGGCAGCCACTTAAAAGAAAGAGGAGAAGAAAGGGAAGAGGAGCTGGGCAGTGAGGGGCCTGCTTCTTGTCTTACCCACACGCCCGCCCAGGACTAAGCCCGCCGGCCTCCGGGCTGAGCAGGTGGGCGGGCAGCTGGGCCTGCCTCTGAATTCCTCCCGCAGTGTGTCCAGGGGAGGACTGCCTGCCCATCTGTCCCTCCTCTGCCCTTGGGGGTCACACAGGAAATGTCTGGAGAGAGATGGCTGACAGCTTAGAATATGTCTTCTGACATTTGGGCCAACAGCTCCCCCCCAGGGCTGCAGAAAGAGGCTGACTGTGTGCATGATACAGCAGGAGTGGTGGTTCAGGGGCAGCCCTTCTCCCCCAACCCCAGGGCTTGGGTTACCCCACGAGGTGGGCACTGGGCTTTTCCAGCCTTGAGGTCCCGTGCAGCCCTGTGTGTATGACTCAACTGTATCTCAGAGAAGCTCTGTGTTTTGAATAACATGGCAAGTTTCCCGAGTTGAAGCTGGGTTGGCTCAGGGTGAACATCAGGGCCTGATGTCAGTCCTCCGAAAGAAACCAGGACCACAGGATGTGCTTGTTTACACTGTCCATCCCTCTAAAGATTTTGCCCCTATTCCCGATCCAGGAGCACCCAGAGCCCAAACAGGCCCCTGTCTCTCTACACGGCCAAGCCTGGGCCGTCTGACACAGACATGGTTCCCCCCATCCCACAGGTGAAGTGAGAGGATGGGGACTTACCCGGATGTTGTTGAGGTTAACCTCTTCAAGTGTCGGGTCGTTGTTCTTTATCCGCTCCAGTGTTTCCTCCACGTCTGTTGAATTTGGTTCTTCGTCGGGCACAGGCTTGTATTGTGTTGGTTTGATCACACCTAGAGTGACCCACAAAAGGGAGATGGCTCACAGAAACAGGGATCACTTTCCCCCAACACAAGGACACTCTGGAAGGAAGTGGCGGCAGAGTTCAGGGACATGTGAAGGGGGTTTGGGCCCTGCCTGACTCTGCCTTTGACATCCTATAAGAACTGGGCCAATTCCGTAAACTCTCTGAACCTCGGTGTCCTCTGTAGAGTGTGAACAGTCACTCTGCCTCAGTGGGCTCTGGTGGGGATAAAAGGAAGCCCGGATGGGAAAGAAATGTGTAAGCCTTTCTGAGGAGACCTAAATATCATTTTGGCACCCTCATTTCTCTCTGGGGCCCAAACGCCAGCTTGGAACAATGTGCCGGAGCAATTAAGACAACGAATGCAATATTGGCACAGGAAAGGACAAGGAGAGTCGTGCAACAGAAGAGGCACCCAGAGACAGACCCAGGTGGATGCGTGGAAGTTTATGATCATGGTGGAGTCCCAAACCAGTGGTGAAAAGAAGCTCTCTGCAAAGAATGGGTTTGGGACAATGGGCTAGCCATTAAAAACTAAAAATGAAAGTTTGATTTCATCTCACAGCATATGCGAACATGAATTCCAGGTGAATTCAGAAGTTGCATATGAGAAGGAAACCTCTAAAACTTTTAGAAGAAAATATAGGAGGATATTTTTTATAATATTGGGATGGAAAAGGCCTTTGTAAATAAGACATAAATTCCAGGAGAATAAAAAGAAAAGGTGGGTCGATTTGGCTCCATAAAAATGTAAAACTTCTGCCACGAGCCAGAGAGTATGAGTGGGCAGAGGAAGCAAGAAGCGGTGAGGACTTTCAAGGTGTCCTGGCTGGGGGCGGGGGGCAGGGTGTGGGCGCCGGGCAGTCAGGGCCCTGTACTCACTGTTGAGTCCTTCCTTGTTCACGATGGAGCTGCTGCCCAAGGCCTGGTAGTACTGCTGGTTGCTCATGAGAGTGTGCATGCCCAGGATAGCTGTGGGGACACGGGACATGGGACATGGGAGAGGCCCATGACTCGCCCCTCTCAGACAGAAGAGCCTCCCGGGCACGGACATTCCACACCCCCCAAAATGTTTGCTCACAGAAATGGCAAGAAATGCTTGCATAAAAACTTTTAAATCTTATTTGCCTCTACTTATGTGACTCTCAAATCTCTAGCCTCAGCCTGGCTCCCGGCCTCAGATTCATAGATGTCCCCCCATGTCCCACTGGCACATCCAACCCAACTTGGCCAAAACAGAACTTTCCCAGCAGTAGCCTCTTGCTCTGGACCCCCTTCCGTCTTGTCACCTGTCCCTCAGGGTATAACTTCACTCAAATAACAAGACCCTACCAACTACCCACCCTCCAAAATAGTGTCTCTCGTATGTCCCACCCCTGTCCTGGTGGAGGCCCTATCATTTCTTGACGATACGGCCACAGTTATGTAGCCACAGGTGTCCTGGCCACCCCTGCAGCATTCAGCACAGAAGCCAGAAAGATCTTTCCAGAAATGCAAATCTGAGCAATTAAGACAACGAATGCAATATTGGCACAGGACAGGAGAGTCGTGCACAGGAAAGGAGAGTCGTGCAACAGAAGAGGCACCCAGAGACAGACCCTGTCTCTCAGCACCCCTGTGCTCAGCCATTCTTTCATTCATTCATTGCTTCAACATTTATCAAGTGCCAGCATCACGTGTCCAGCTCCAGCGGCTCGGCGGACAGCAGGGAACAAGAAAGACAGAGTTCCTGCCCATGTAACTTATAGTCTACTAGGGGACAGAGCCGCTAACAGGTACCCACACCATTAAAAACATAAGTACAGAGCATGGTAAGTGTTGTAAAGGACAAGTTCAGTGTTTTCTGGGAGAATGGAACAGAGGGACTTGGATGGGATGCATGAGTAAGTGTGCGCCAAGTTGAGAAAAGGGAGGTAGAGCATTTTGGGCAGAGAAAATGGCAGGTGGGAAAGCTCAGGTTGTGGGAGGCCAGGAGGGAGGGGGAAACGGAAGAGGGACAGAGACGAAGTCGGACAGTGGTGGACAGCACAACACCCCCCGTCACCAAGCACTGCTTCCAGACCAGAGAATCTGCTGCATCAGTGATTCTGGTGTGGTTGTGCCTTGGAATTACTGGGGAATCTTTAGAAGCTCCTGACGCTCAGGCCTACCCCAGACGAATTAAGCTACAATCTTGAGGAAGGGGGGTAGGCATCTGCCCTTTTTAAAGCTCCCCAGGTAGTTTCAATGGGCAGTCCAGGTGGAGAACACTGCCTGACACTATCCCTTTGAATCCTCACAACAACCCTTGGGAGTAGATTTTATTCAACTAGGCAGAGTTGGATCTTACAGGGTCTTCTAGGCTGAGGTGTAAAGAGTTTGGGTGTCTTCTTCAAGGCACAGCCTGGAAAGCCACTGGAAAGCCTGAGTGGGGTGTGAGCTGGTCTGACTGTTACTCTGGTTGTCTGGAGAACTGACGAATAGGGGAGGGAAGGCCGTGGTGGGGACTGTGAGGATGTTGCAGCCATCTGGGTGCAAAAGCAGTGGCTTGTGACCCCAGAGCCTGGCTTCACCGGCCCTCCCTGGGCTGGCCCTGCTTAGCCTTGTCCCTCCCTCACAGCCTTTCTGCTCCAGCAACACAAATGGTCACTGCTCAGTAGATTCTCCCGCTTCTGCCAATGCCATCCTCTCTGCTATTGATGCTCTCTTCATTTGCAGGGTCCACTGCTGAAATGCCCCTAGTAGTGTTGCTAGGTTTGGCACATAAAAATACAAGACACCCAGTTAAATTGGAACTTCAGATAAACAATGAAGAGTGTTTTTAATATAAGTAGGTCTTATTCAGTGTTTGGGACATACTTATATTAAAAACTTGTTCATTATTGATCTGAAATTCAAAACCAATTGAGCATCCTGAATTTGACCTAACAACTCTAACTCCCCGGTGCTGGAGACTGAGAATAACACTTCCTCCCCCAGGCTGTCTTCCTGGTTTCCTCCCTCTGCCTCGCTAGTTTTCCCACAGCACCTGGTGTCCTTATCACAGCACACCGTCTACATGGCATTAGAGATAGCTAGGTATGTGGATGCTTCCCCTGCTGAACTGTGGGCTTCTGAAGGCCCAGAAAGAATATCATCTCTCTTTATTCTACCTCTTCCAGAATACAACAAGCCTTCAGTAAATACTTGCTGATGATTTTTTGTTATTCCTCCAGCCATTTCTAGTTAGAGAGAAAACACAAGAGACCTTAGGGAAGAGTCAGGAACCCAAGGACCTTCCCCTAAGATCCTGACTATGCCCCCCCCGCGATGCTGCACGACCGTGGGGAAGTCCCCACTCCTCTCTAGGTTTCAGCCTCCTCTGTCCAATGAAGGGGTGAGACAAGATCATGGCTGGCCATACGATTCACATGGGAACTTTAAGACACTATCAATGTTCCACTCTGGACCAACAAACCCAAATCTCTGACGGTATATTTTTTAGTTTCCTTGGATGATTTTGATGCTCAGTAGAAGCTAAGAAACACAAGACAAGATGATCTCGAAGTCCCTTCTGTTTCTCACATTCTAGGAGTCTTTTTTTTGCTAAAATTAGACCTGCCTGCTCATTACTAAGGAGAACTGGTAGAGAGAGAGAGAGAGAGAGAGATATCTGCATTTTTTTTTTTTAATTCTCTGGGCTTTAATTTAGGCTGTGGCTACGTGGGCACTGGGAGCTGAGGCCTGAGTCAGCAGCCGGTAAATTAGATCACCATGCGTCACCTTGTCACCTTCTGGAGCTCCCACGTGGGGAGTGACTCGTGGTGATTTTAGGCTGCTGCTGGGAGCCCAGGTTTGGAAAAACAGTTTGCAAAGGTTGCTGGGAATCACAGAAAAGATGTGACCTCATAGGGCTGTCTGGTCTTGCTTAGAGTATATAGACAGGTGGAAAATGAAAAATGCATTTTGTGCTCAGATGATAGCTTCCCATAACAGTCCAGGAAGGGGAACAGAGGCAAGAAGGTTACAGGAAGTGCCAGTGGACAGGGGAAAGAGACCTGGGCTCTAGTCTACCCTTGGTACTAATTTGCTGGGTAACCCTGTCTAGGTCACTTCTGCTTTTTGGGTCTCAGTTTTCTCACCTGTAAAATGTGGTGTGTTTAAACTCTGATCATCTCTTACTTTCACTTAGGACTTAACAGCCACACAGCATCTCATCTTTTTATCCTGTTTGATTTTTACAATAAGTCCGCAGGGCAGGTGCTGTGGACCCCTCCCTTTTCCAGCAGGCTTAAGAGGGAAATGATTTGTCAAAGGCTGTTCAGCAAGGACTCTCCTGGCTTCTAAGTTAGTATTCCCACCCACTCCTCCACG